CCCGCGTCTCAGGGGTGTATGTGTGTGTATATATATATATATATATATATATATATTGGTACTGCCGTTTGAATTTTATCGTTTCCAATATTCATTGGAATTTTTTTAAAAAAATAAGTGTATATGAGATGTTAAAGATGATGTTTTTAAATTCGTGACTTCACTTTTGTGATAAATTGTAACGTATGAAAGTTAGATTTTTTGCTTTCGAGAATGGAATATCTTTTAATGGAATTTTAAATTTTTTGGAAATAGCAAAAATTATTATTTATTTGTTTGAGAGGTTGAAAATTCATATTTTCTTGATTTAGATGATATGTACGTATCTAGTATTCATAAAATAATAGTATTTGAATCTTTGAAACAATATTAACGATCGATAGATGGAATTTACGTACGATTTATAAAGAAAATGAATTCTGTATTAAGATTGTATGTAGTAAATTACAATAATGAGTGTAAAAAACAATGTGGAACAAAGCAGGAATATCTCAAAGCATGAGTACGTCAATTCATAATTTACATTTGTGAATGGTTTATTGAAATGGAAACAAGATACATCGAACGTCTCGTAGATAGAAGGGGAATAAAATTTTGTTTTATCATAAATATCCATTTCACACAATCAGAAATATTTATTCATATAATAATATTATCGTATCGCGAATGACGAGGCATGAAAAATTAAAAATATTTTTTAATATTGTTCATTTTATTTTTATACGTGTAAATATAAATATAAATATTTTCATATTTTGAAAAATCAATAATTTATTCACATTTGACTGATATATCTTATCGAATAAAAAAGTTTAAATTTTGCGGATGTTTAACGCAAATAGATAATATACAGATACAGAATAAAAAAGTAAGAAACGTGTATCGTAAGTCTTATAAATTTTATCATTTTATTAAAAATTGTGCGATACAAAAATACAAAAAATGGCATAATCCAATTTTTTGTTTTTTATTCGGATCGTATTCCTGTGAAAAAAATTTTTATCTCTTCCTACATTCGAATAAAATATTGTAGGTCAAACACGAAACAAGTTCCATTGTGCATAAAGTGAACTCTTTCAATGTATAAAAAGATTCATTACAATTAAAGTGATTTAACCTCGACACGTTCTGCACTTTTAAATTCTTTTGACGATTGCTATTTTCTCTCTATTGATCAATCTTCGAAAGCAAAAATGCTCGAATGAACAAAACTTTTTAATTTTTTCATCCAAATCATAGTTTATATCAGAAAAAAAGAAGAAGAGAATAAGCGTTAAAAAAATTTTTACGATAAAGGAAAAAAATTAAATTTCTTATTAATTTTGAATTTCTCCTAATTTAATTGCACTGTCAAAGAGTCAAATATTAAATGTCTCTCGTTCATATTTAGCCAAGTAAACTACAAAAGGAAGTCACGTATCCGCAACAAAGAGAAAACTTTAAATAAAGTAAATAACGAATTCCATTGGTTGTCAAGAATTGGTTGCTGTAACGATCGAACCCAGCCATTTTCATTTGCATAACCACGACCTTCGACCGTATTACACTGTTCTTCTTTGTCCAATTCGACCACGATTGCGACTAACAGTACTGCCCCTTTGAATAATGCATTTCGAGAGAAAAAAAAAGAAAAAAAAAAAAAAGAAAAGAAAAATTTAATATATTCCAGTAATTTTTTCTCGATATTTTCATACGAATATTTGATCGTCGAAGGAAGAATCTTCCATTCCATTCTTCCATTTACGAGATTATTTGCGATGGCCGAACGAATCCTCTGGTATCACCGGAGTGAAAAGGATGATATTCGGCTTTTAAGTTCATCCCCCTCCCTCTCCACCCCGAAGGGATGTTTTAATATACGGAGAGCAGGATTGCTTTTGTGATTAAACTTCATCCTGCGAAGGTGCTTTCTTGCTAACGATACGGGAAATGTTCACGTGAGATAAGAAATTTAAAGGAAGATAATGCAAACTTTGCTTTGGAACAGCCAGCAATGATGTTAGATTGTTCGAGCAATATGATATGATACAGAATGTTAGAGAAACGGTGATATAAATTGGAAAAAAAATATACGCGTGGAGAGATAAATGGAAAACTTTTTTATATTTTAAACTTTATTTTTGGATAAATCGATGTTGGAGATTCGTCGAGTATTTATATATTTTTTTCAATTTGATAGATATTCGTTCTAATATTTTGTATTGTTATTTTGTATCGTTACATTTATTATACGAGATAGTAGAAGTATTTTTTTGCTGTAGAGGATTTTTTTTCTAATATAAGGATTTTTAGAAATTATTTTTGTTATGGTCTGCGTAATATATGCTTTTGTGCACGCTTTCCATAGTTCGATAATTTTTTTTTTATATTAATTTTAATAAAATTAGATTAATGTTAGATTTTTCGTTTAATAGTTTTTCATATATTAGTTTAGATATTGTTGTAATTTTTCTATTATTACAATTATGCGTATTATTTGTTATTGTGAACGTATTTTTGTGATATTTCATTGAATAATTTTTTGTTTATTATTTATTTATGCGTATTATTTATTTCTATGCACGCTTTTCAGTGTTTCAATTCTGTTTTCTTTGTTAGAATATAATTTATGAGGTTCTGCTAATTTAATTATACTCTGCGTATTATTTATTTCTGTGAACGCTTCTCAGAGTATTTTATATAGTTTTTAAATATTTTCTAATTCATAATTGTATTATTAATAATTTATAATTTCGTCTTTCCATTCAGATAATAGATCCATGGATAAAAATTTATTATTAAGTTCAGCTATTTTAAAAAATTATTTTTTTTAAAATCCTCTCTATCAGTTTTCTAATATTCTGTATATATATATTGTGCTTCTGAAAATTTTTCAATTATTTTTTCACAATTCTCTCTGAATTTAAAAGTGTATCTTAATTTTAAATCTTCCACTCCGCTTATAAAGTTTTTATGAATCGTAAATCAGTTATGATCGTGTATCTCCCCGACTAAAATCCCCACTAAAAAATTTAATCATAACACGTTTCACAATGTATACGAAATCAAGCAAGATTAAAAATAATTCTCAGAGAGAATCACATTTGAATCCACGTAAATATAAAATTAAATCGCATAGATAAAACATAGCCAACATTCCACGTTTACAGCAAGAAATCATGATCAATCGAAATAAGCAAAAATAAATTTTCTCTTTCTCTACTCACCTTCCCGCCACTTCCTTATCGTACCATCTCTTCTCCTCGACGACCAGTATTCGCGCGCGTCTCTTCCAACATTTCCTCCTTTCGAATGTCCATTGAAATATACCGTTAAAACCGTATAATCAGTCTCATAAATTTTCAAAGATATAACAGATCGAGAATCAATTACACAATGATGATAATCAAACAAAATTTAAAAAGCACATCGTTATTCACAACGACAATGGAATCGTTTCCTCGCGCATCAATATGGAGGGTTTTATTTTCATTCCAACACGTGGCACGCGAGAAACACTGGCGGCGAGGCGAACGCGAGAAATAATCGTGCCTCTTGAATCACGTTTGTCATTTCAACGACTTCTCTTCCTAGGCTATTCCTCCCTAATTCCCCAATTAACCGATTGTCGAGCGAATTGCCAATTAATCCGCGCGAATTTCGTTCGCACCCGCGATCCTCATTGTCGTCGACGATTGTGGTTTCCCCTTTTGTTCCCGAAACGGTTTTCCCGACGTTTCAAAATTCGGACAGAGTATCGATTCAACTGCACGCACAGAGTGTTAGACACTCGGGATAATTTTGTAACTGGGGCGGCCGGATGAAGTTTCTAAAAAAAAAAAAACTCTTTGATATTTATCTCGTTTCGGCTCTTCGTTCACGAAGTCCCTCTTTGACAAGTCCTTTCTGTTTGATATTTTTTTTCTTTTAATGGATTCATTCGTACCTCTCCTGCTTTGCACGAGATGGTTGTAAACGGTTGCGGCTCGCTTCTTTTCAGGAGAGAACCGTAGATGAGTCTTTTTTTTTTTTTTAAAGTGGTTTAATTGTTGTGTTTTGCGACGAGAGTTAAGTTTCAGTTGAGAGATGTGTTAATTCGTTCGATCGTTTTCGACAGATTAAATTGTTTTTGGTATTTTTAATGTTCTTTTTTTTTTTTTAAGAATTATTTGCTACAAATTTTGGTAAAAATTTGATGGACTTTTTTTTTTTATTTGCGAGTTTTGCGTCCTTTCAATGCTTCGGGAAGGCAGTTGAAAGCATTCGGCACGCCGATTTTATCCGACAATTTGCAATCAGATTTATCGTAGATTAAATTGAACGGGGTTTCATCATATTATAGTGTATAATCAGGGAAGTCAGAGTCATTTACCACTAGCAATCGATTGCTCCAATTTTCCATTCCGAATTTCCAGATGCTATTTATTTGTATCTGTTCTGTGCATTTGTTTCTCGTGTTGTTTTTAATATCAGGTATTTATTTATCTCACGATCTCTTTTTCGTATGTGCAAATATTTCTTATATTTATTTTTCTCTCGTATTTTTTAAATATTATATTTTATAATAAGTAATTAAATCCTTAAGTTATTTAAAAAGAAGGAGATAGAAAAGAATTTTTTTTTTAAAAAACGATATTACGAATAATAATAATCGTTAATAATTTAATTTAATTTACATTTATCTCGAAAAAAGTATCGAGAAATACCTTTCGCTCTATTCCTCCCTCGGCGTTCACCGATTCTCTCCTCCAAATTTTAAAATTTCCTTTAAAGCACAAAGACGTGGAAAGTGGAAAACTTCATTTCTTCATCGACTTTTTCGACAATCTTCTTTCACATCTCTTCCTTCGCATCCTCGTTGCTCCTTTCCTTCAACGATCTTCGACGTTCGACTGATCGACAAACGGGCCCGTTTCACTCTCCAAACATCCATCCCCATTCAGAGAACAATCAAATCCAATATATTCGAATTAATTAATCCAATTTACAAAATTTCGTCCGACTTTCCTTTCTTCCTCACGCACGATCCTGCGACTCATTAGCCGGGACCTGCCGAATCCGCACTGGATCATCATCCATGACTCTTCCCACCACGATAATTCCCTCCCTTCGTGTCCCACCTTACGGGACACGCGTTGCCCACGGCTTTCCAACTTCGACGTGCATAAACCACGAGGCGAAGCCGCGATCTCTGCCGAAAAACCGGCCGAGCACCGACTATCTATCAGTCTATCGAGGGTTAATCCCTTCTGGCGGGATTTTCGGGTGTCTCTTCTTATTATCCCAGAGGTATCACAGTCTTTTGCAAAATAAAAAAAGAAAAGAATAAATAACAAGAATAAATAAACCACTCTCTCTCTCTATATATATATAAATAAATAAAAGCAAATAAAAAGGAAAAAAGAAAATAATCAACAACAATGGAAACTTCAATGTCCGTTCACTGAACTACGATCAGAAGCTTGATCGAGGAAAGGCTTTGATCGCCGACAATATTATATCACCCGTCCCGATTCTCATTTAACGTTACGTTTTTTAACGATTGATCCTTCCATCGTCGAGAACGAGTTGAAACGGGGGAATGTTGGTGGAAAACGTTACTAAATCACCGTTCAGGATCAGGACTCGGGGGACGACGATCAACGATGCCGCTTGAGGGAGTGTCTCCGTACTCCTCCAGCATCACCTGTTGGTATCGTATCCCGGTCACGGCCTATACAGGGTGGCACGGGCAAAATCTGCTCGGGCTGCTAGACAACGGGGAAACACGCTTGCGCGAACGCAGATCGATGTGTTATATCGCACGCTCTCTTCTCTACGGATCCTTCTATCCTCTCTCGCTTCGTCCCTCTCTCTCTCGTCCGCGTTCGAAATGAGAGACGAAGCGACACGTCCACGCTTATCGTCGATTTGACGAGTGCCATTGTGTCGGTCGCTATCGGACGCTGTTTTGTATCATCTTTTTTTCCCCTCTCCTTTTCCTTTTTTCGGGAGGGAGGTGGCTCGATCAAATTTTTTCCTCTACTTTCGGTCCTTTTCGAGGGGTTAGAGAGATAGGGTTCGAGTGGCTAGAGAGAGACATATATATATATGTATATGTATAACGATGATTTCTTTTTGGAGGAATTTTGATCTTGAGATTTGAGTTTTTTTTTTTTGGTTTTTTGTTTGGATTTTTGTGGGAGTTTGTTTCGGTTTATTGATTCGTGAATGGTTTTTATTTATCGGTTTGAACCGATTATTTTTATCGTGAAAAGTATTTCTTTCTTTTTTTATTTTAAGGTTTGGAATATCTTTTATCTCAACCAACGATTTCGGTTGGTATCTTGTTTAGTATTGAATTTTTTAACATTTTTATTAGTTCAAAATTTGTTGTTTTAAATTGGTTTTGTTTCTTTTTAATTCAAAGTTATATTTTGAGTCGAATGGTGGTTTCAAAGATTTGTTTGAAAAAGTAAACTATTTTCTTTAATATTTTTGTTATTTTAGAATTCTTTATTTTAAGAATTTTTCTTTGATTTTATATTTTTTGCGATTTGTGTTATTATATTTCTTTTGTGAAATGAAAAATTCTTGATATTTTTGTTATCTAGAATCTTCGTATAATTAAAATTTTGAATATGTTCGGTTTGAAATTGAAAATTCTTAATATCTTCATTATTTTTATACGAAACGATATTTTTATTGCATATATTAAAATATATGAAAAAGAAGGATTGAATGTTCGATCGATTTTTCATTATAGATTCTAATATTTTTCTTTGGACCGCACTTTTGCGACGGATGACTTCCCTCGATGAGAAATTGTTGATCAGTTCATTGGCTCGTAAAACATTGATACCAACTACTTTTTGTTCCTTTCTGGGTATATTATTAACTTGATCTTCCTTCCCAGGCATATTATTAACTTATCAGACTTAAGAAAACTTTGTTTTGCGAAAAATATTTTTTAAAAGGTTAAGTGGCAAGAGTTCATCATCGATGTTGCGACATCATCCTACGTTTTTACGAAGACAAAAATATAAATATAAAATTACGCTATTTAAAAAGAATTTTTCAATAAATAAAATCTATTTTATTTCACACTAATAAATTTCGCGACGATTCAATGATGCTTTAAGTTTGTTAATTGAATAAAATTTTTCAAAATGAAATTACTCACGGAATTGATATTGAACTTTTTAATAAAGAAAAATTTTTATCGTAAAATTTGATCGTTTCACACGCAGAATTTAAAGTTGTGATATAAATTTAAAAAAAAGAAAAAAATGTTCAATGATTTATGATTATTTCCAGGGAGAAAAATGAAAAAGATTCTCTTGTCACTGAATCGATTCGTTTTGTAAATAATGTTTATTAGATAATGCGTGCTTACGAGTATTAGGTAACATAATGTATTCTACGGTCCTTCATAGAAGGCGTACAAATCATTGTTCCAGCAATGTCTTCTAGATTAACATAGATAAAATCATCGTCGTTGTCATCGCTATCGCCTTTGTCCTCGTTCGATTCATTAAATTCTATTTCTCCCGCGTGAATCATTATCACGCGAGACGTGATTACCTTTTGTCCACACATAAAATCGAATCTGTTTGTCAAACTTCGAGACCATTTTCATTTATACTTTTGCTTCAATTATTTGAAATTTCCCTCCAAAAGTACGAGATATTTTGACACATTTCATCTACAACTCGAAATGATTATTTTTGACAATAATATTTAATATCGATATTTAGAAACCGGAAATATTTTTATCCTATAATTATATTTTAGAAAAAATTTTTGTAATTGAGAAAGTAAATTAACTCGATTACTGTATTCAATGTTAATAATATTGTTATTAAAAAGAATATCACTTATTATTGATATTTCTACTAAATCAGAAATTCAAAGTAACGCTTTATAATAATAAAAAAAATATATATATATATGTGTAAAAAAATTGTGGTTATCAACAATTACTCGATAAATTAAAAATAAAAATATTAAATCTTATTGGCGCGAAATATCTAATGATCTTCTACATCAAAATCAGCGAGAATAGCGAAAAGTTTTCGCGAAGTTAATAGAACGGAAATATACTTGCGGGGAAAAAAAATATTTTTCTCCATAGTTCCGTATTTGTGTATCTAACTCGGGGTTTAATTTTCATCTGTGCACCATGCTGCACATCAAAGAGTAGAACTCGAGGCGTTTTGACTCACGTTCTAAGAAAAGAAAAGAAGAAGAAGAAGAAAAAAAAAACGATTAAACAAAATCGATTACACATCGTGCAATGATGAATCACTCGTTGTTGAACCGAAATTGCGCGCTTCTCCTCAGAACGGATCCAGATCAAATAAATAATTTCGGATAGGAAACGCGATGGCCTCCGATATTCTAATAAACATCATTCGATTTTAGTGGTCTGTTGTGTGTACGAGTCCACGACGATCGATTCAACGTTCTTCCGCGGGTTCTTCAACATCAAACAAACCGAAGTCCCTAAAATTATAATGGTTTATTACACGATTCTAAGATTCACCCCATTGGGCCTAACTAAAAATTATCGATAAATAACGTATCACTTTTGGATGTTTTCTCTAAAGTCCATCAGAGCCGATAATATAACTCGCGAGAAATTGGCCTGACGATTTTTTTCTTTTTTATTTATTTTTAAAAAATCCTCGATTTATTTTCCCTTCACGTTCGCTCAATCTCTTCCTCGTTTCGCATTCTTCATTCATTCCTCACTTCTATATATATATATATATATTTGTTTTTTTTTATTTATATAATATATATATTTTTTTATATACGTAATAGCAAGTAATCTTAATCTTATGTGTCTGTTTTTATGTTCGTTAACCAATCTCGAGTCGAATGGAGATTAACATATTCGCTGCCACGCATGTATTATTATACGACGCTTTATTTTCTTTTTTTTCTTTTTTTTTTTAATTTCTTACAAACTTTTTACTCGCTTTTATTCATTTTTTTTTCATTTTTTTCATATTTTTTTTATTATAATCAAAGCAAAAGTCGGGACAGAATTTTCCCTCAAACAATGGTAGCGAACATATTAATTCATTTTGCATATTTTTCATCCTTTTTTATGTTGTGTATATGTACGTGTGTATGTATATATGTATGTATGTGTGTATGAGTTTTTAAATTCTTGAATTGATTGTATAGTACGATGTAATGTTTTGTATACATGCTCGTAAATTTACTATGTTCCTTAGGTAGTAGGTATCAATAGTGTCTCTTGCTTGTAGCGTTAATAATTAATTTATTAAAACTTTCTATATCATCTTAATTCTCATAGTCTCTTTAATAATCGCCTATACATTCTTCTCGTCTCTCTCTCTCTCTTTCTCTCTCATTCTCTATCTTCCTTCTCATCTCATACATCTTCTTTACAATCTTTCTTTCTCTCTCTCTCTCTCTCTCTCTCTCTCGCACAATTTCTCTCGTAAATAGCTGCTCTTTTTTCATTTCGTAAATTCTTTTTATTTCATTTATTAATTTAAATTCATCTAAAAAGATTTTTCGCGTGCGTTGTTCGTCGAATAGCTCGAGACAATTCGCATTTTTTTTTTTTTTATTCATTATATTAAAAATATGATCGATCGGAGATGTTAAAAATCCTAATCCGTTGGAAGGAATTCATGTTTTATTAAAGCACGAGGTGTGATTCGAATATGTAACGTATAATTAATCGAATTATTAAAAATAAACGAGATAATAAATAAGAAATTGATTTATTGACGATTTAAACAGGGTAGGTTATCACAAATTGGAAAAAAGATAAAAATATATCCGTAGGGTGAACTTTTTAATATTATTAAACACGTTAATATATGTTTTCTATCTGGTTTAAATTTCTCTCTCTCTCTCTCTCTCCCTCCCTCTCTCTCTCTCTCGATCGCATCGAAGCATTATTAAATCATCTAAAATCTTTAATTATTTCACACGCTTTATCTCGAGCGTTCGACTATTTATCATAGTTTGAAAAGATTAACGGACGAAGTTGCAGCAGTTAAATTCTGTGAACATATTCAAATAACAATTATTAAAAATCTCCAAAACCTCCAAATAATCAATTTTATCGATCCAAGTTCTCTCACTCCTTAAATACAATAAAATTCTTTTTTAAAAACGTTTTACAATCTTTTTTTACAATAAATATTCGATTGTTCAACACGAGGTAAAAATTTTTATTACACCCAACGAGATGGAATAACATATAAATCCCATTTTCACCCAATTGAAACACG